TCTCTTGAAACTCCCCTTGTGCCCGACAGCTCCAGGGGTGGCAAATCTTGAATGGGTCCCATTGCCAAGTCCAGTGGTCATCTCTGTCTGCCATGCGGGGCCCCAGCTCACCCTGTGCTTCAGACTTCTCCACCTGTTGTTCAGAACACCTGAGGCTGGGTGGTGGGGTGTTTCTTCCTGATGGCTTATTCTGCTCTACTCACATTCTCGGGGTGCCCGTTCCTGTCTCTCTAGGCTTCCTTCCTTCCTCTAGGGATCTCTCTTCTCAGAGATTCCCAGTTTCGCTTACGGGCCATGTCAACTTTTGTAGCATGAAACCATGCCTTCACTTTGTTGTATCATTATCTTTCTATTATCCACTTTCCCGAATGGTCCTTGAAGGCAAACCAAAGCGTCTTATTTCCTTGAGTTCCCTAGTAGGCCAGGAGGCCTGGGAGGGGACTCTGAATTAGGTCTGGGACCTGGAACCAAGCCCTCCCTCTAGCATCTACTGCGAGTTGGAGAATGTTGTGTTTCTCAGCTAGAAGGGACTCCTTCATCTTCATCAGAAGATGACTCTGTCCTTTGAGTAAAACGCTTACTGAACACATACTACATTATGCTTTCCAAATGTATGAGCTCATGGAGCCTTCAAAATGTCAATGTAAGGAGTGGGTGGTACAGATGTAGAAAGAGTGTAAGAGCCAGAGATGGTGGGTGGCTACAGCGTAACAGTGTTTTCTAGATGTAACAAGGCAGATGTACACAATAACTCACAGCAGTTGTGACCACATATGCTAAGCCAGACGAAATCCTAAATGGAGGAGTAGGAGGGAGGTGGTTACCAAACCCTATCCCTGGCTAAGGAGTTACTGGTGATTAATAGTTGTCATGAGAGGGAGAATCGGTTTTTCTTTTAGGGTGTAGTACCTGGTAGGTCAAACACATTTCAGTAGATGGCCACACAGTTAGGAGTCAATGGCTTAAAAAAATGATGACATAAAGTTGAGTAGGTAGGAAAGGAGGTGGATTGGGGAGGAGCCAGAGGAGGGGGATACATATGACCAAAAAAAAACCCCATGAAATTATCAAAGAATTCATACATGTACACACACACACACACACACACACACACACACACACACCAGCTTTACCACTGGAGTGCTGACTCTGGTATGAAGTATGTGGAAATTAAACTAACTAATTAAGAGTCTATGTGAAGGTATAGCATGTTGGACACACAGAGGTACCTGGTGAATCTTAGGCCCTCGATAGGACCTAACTGACTCACATATGCATAGTAGAGATGCTACGATGAGAAAACTACAATGCGCTTTGGTCCATGGAGCATCAAATAAATAGCAGCTGCTTTGTACACTTGTGAAAAATACAGAACAGGTATAGGGTGGAGCTTGGGGCACGCAGGTAAGGACCTAAAGTGGGATATAATAGGGTGCGGGCAGAGAGCCTGGAAAAGTCACTGGGCTCAAATGGGAATAATACACATGGAAAGGAAGTGTAGGAAGGACCTGGAGGTAGGAGAGCTCCACTGTGCTGTGGGACAGGCAGGCGCCAAGGTGTGAGGCAAGGTAGCCAGTGGCCTTGCCAAGAGCTTGAGCTTGGCTTGCCTGGCAATCAGAAGATGGAGCAGAGTGAGGCTACCCCTGGGTCTTGTTGGTCATGCCTAGAATTCAGATACGACATACAGCGGGAGCTGGTGGCCAGAGAAGTGGCATGATCAGATGTGAGATTTTAGACATTTCCTTTGGCTCCTGGGTAAGGAATAGATGAAACAGCAAGGGGCAGACTCAATAGAGGAGAATGGGGCTCAATAAAGCAATCAGGGGTCTGAAACTTGCCCAGTAAAACCTCTCCAGTGTTCATGGGCCTGAGAGTTGGTGTCGGGGACCTGCGCTGGGAGAAACTGAAGCCACCACGGGGCCTGAGCACCAATCTTCCTGGCACACACTGCTGTCCCACTGTCTCCTGTCGGTCCCACTGGCTTCCTTCCAGTGGCACAGCTACTTGGGGAGGGGTAGAAAAATCTAATGGCCACCCCATTTTGAAGACTAGGCTAAGCCACTGGTTGAACTGGTTTGAACTTGTCCCAAGGTTGTTCCGAGGCAAAGGCCCACCCCACCTATATCGGGGTGGCCTCACCACATTCCTGTGCCCATACTCACCCTCAGGAGGTTAAGGGCCCACCTCTATGCTTCCTGGCCAGACAGTTGGCAGCAGCATAGTCACCACTTACATAACCCAGTCCAGGGCACGGTTCCATTCCCCTGCCGGGGCTGGGTGGCTTCTGGAGGACGGGTTAATAGGTAGGTCTCAGTTTCAGATATGACAATAAAAAGCAGTTTCCAGTTCTACTGGTCCATACATCAAGACCTTTGAGCATGTCCACTGCACAGACATCCAGAGTCAGACGGCTCCCAACGCTCAGTGTGCAGGGCTCTCTTCTGGTGTGAGGAAGGGAAATGACCCTTCTCTGGGATAAAGGAACTTACTGTAGGCAAGACCCGCAGCTTCTCTGACCGTTTTCTTCTTCAAATGCGAGATGAGAAGATGATCACTCCTGCCCCGGGCTTTTTGTGGGAGAGGAAGGAGACGGAAGTGACCAGTCTTAGAAGGTTCAGATATACCACCAACTGGGAGAAGTATCAGGGACAATGCCAATGGTGACAAAACAAGTACAGTAATAATAATTTCTGTCCATTGGTGTGTGATTCATTTATGGAATCAAAGCACTGAGGACTCCTAGACAAGAGTTTAGGGCACAGTGCACACAGCTTATGTTCCCCACTGGTAATTTGTCCTCCTGGCCCCAACCCTAAGGCAGTCAGGGACAGGCAGAGGCTCAGCTCTTAGTTAAGTTGCTTAGATTAGGGACATTGCATGCTCCAAAGGGCTGAACCACCCTCTTTCAGCTGAGACATGCTTACTCCAAAGCTCCATATGACTAGAGCCACAGGTATTTCTGAAGGAAGTGGGAGGAGATAATTGTCACCTCAGAAATGACTGTTGCAACAGCCCAAACAGGATTAAAACCAACATCTAAAATTAAGATTCTTGGAAGGTGCCCAGAAGCCAGACCAAAAAAAAAGGGGGGGGGAACCAACACCAGTCAGAAGACTAGTTACATGCACCCTCAGGTTGCTGTGTTTTATTTTGATGTTGGAGGAGTCCTATTTGTTATTTTATTATTGCCATTGTCTGTGTCTGCAATGTATGTATGGTATGCACACGTGCTCCTGCCCAGGCATGCGTGCAAAGGACAGAGAATGACTTTCAGGAATCAGTTGTCTCCTTCCACCTTGCCTGTGCTGTGGTGTTTGCTGCAGGTTAGCTGGCTGGTAAGCTTTCCGGTCAGTTCTCCTGTTTCTGCTTCCTGTGTCCCTGTGAGAAACCTGGGATTGCAGATGTGTGCCCCTAATGAAGGTTCCAGCCACTGAGGTCAGGTCATCATGTTTGGAGGGCAAGCACTTTCACCTGCTCAAGTCATCTCATTGACTCTGTTTTGTCTTACTTATGTGTTCGTTTGTTTGTTTGTGAATCTTGAACCCATGATCCTCCTGCCTTAGTCCTCAGAGTGCTGGAATTATAGGATTCTTTCACCACTCTGGCTTCTGCCAAGGTTTTCATTATGGTGTTCCATATGTTTAGAAAGTAAGATTTAAGTCAAAGAGATTACTCTATAAGAATTCACATAAAAACATGAAAGCCCAAATAACAATTAGTTCTTTGGAGGGGTGTACCAGAAGAACAACAACGGAGCTCAGCAGGCGGTGCCTCTTGGGAAAGGTTCCCATCCTGCTTTGGGATTGTGAGGGGCATCTCAGGGAAGTGGGGGTCAGTGCTGAGACAGGGTTTGGATGCAGCATCAGGACAGGTGGAAATTAAGGACCAGACGCCGTCATGGCCCAAGGCATCAGCACCTGCTGTCCCCTCTAGCACACCTATCACTGGAATAAAGTTGGCATAGGGGTATTGTGCTGAGCCAGGACAACCCAAGACTTTATCAGAGTCCCTGATGAAAGGACAAAGGGCACTTCAGGTCTGTGTCCTTGTCCGAGGTGGACTTGGCAAAGCCAGTCTAGATCTAGAGCTGTGCCTCAAAGGAGTCAAGGTTACAGTTTCTTAGCTCTCTGCTAACCTTAGCCATCTCCCCACTGCAAATAGTATATAAGATGCTGTAACTCTTTTTTTTTCTGTTGTTGTTTTGTTTTGTTTTTCAAGACAGGGTTTCTCTTATTGCTTTGGAGCCTGTCCTGGAACTCGCTCTGTAGACCAGGCTGGTCTTGAACTCACAGAGATTCACCTGCCTCTGGCTTCCAAGTGCTAGGATTAAAGGTGTGTGCCACCTTCCCAGCCATCAGTCTGGGGTCCAAGTGCTCCCCCATGTTCAGTTCAACTATTTCTGTGGGTTAAACAAGCCCAGTCTTGACCCCTATGCTCATCAGTTCTCCCTCTCTGTCACTGGGTTCCTTGAGTTCAGCTCAGTGTTTAGCTGTGGCTGTCTGCCTCTGCTTCTGTCAGTCATTGGTTGAAGGTTCTGTTTCCCAGACTCTCTGGCAGTGGGACTGTATGCTGGCACTCCCCGATCCACGTCTAAAATCCATATATGAGTGAGTACATACCATGTTTGTCTTTTTGTGACTGGGTTACCTCACTCAGGATGGTTTCTTCTAGTGCCATCCATTTGCCTGCAAATTTCAGGTTCAGTCCTACAATGTACCCTTACACTGACAGGACACTGGTAACTTAGTCTTCCATGTCCAAATAAAGAATGTTGCAGCTTGCGTCCATACATAGCAATCAGAAAGGAGCCTCTGAAAGCCTGCAGGGTGCAGTTTCTACCCTTTACCTGTAAGCTGGTGTTCACTAACAGCTTTTAAAGACTGCCTATCACTTTACCCACAGCTCCACACTGTATCCCAGCTTCTAGACAAACTAGAGCTTTATTCCATTCCCACCGGTGGTTTCTATATCGTTAGCGCATCACACTTTAACTGGGCAGGATCTAGGTTTATTCCAGTCTATGAAAAACTAAAGTGCAAAGCAAATTTGAACAGCTAAAACATCTTAAAAATGCACCAAGACTATTGAATTTCCTGTGCACACTCCTGTCAAATGAAGTCATTTCCTGTACACCACTTCGTTAGCAGACTGGCCTTCTGCTTCCTTTCATATGACCTGGATCGGCTACGAAACCTAGAGAAGGATCGATATGGCTTGTGGTTTCTCTCACAAGACAGAGACCTTTCTCTTCTCCTATCTCTAGAAAGTGACCTGCTCTGACTTCGAGAGAAGCTTCTCCTTCTCGGAGATCTTTGCCGAGGTGGAGGACTCCTCCTACGGTAATCATCTCGAGGGCGTCGACCCCAAGAGGGAGGTGGGCCACGATTGCGACTTCTTTTTTCGATGTTCCACTCTCACACGGCAGCCACATAGCTCTCAAACAGCATCAGCGGCATCTCGGGGATCCTCAAATTCAAGGAAAGCAAAGCCAGGGGGGTTCCAAGCAACCCACACACTTCTCAGGGGTCCATAATAGTCAAAAGCCAGCTCTAGTTCACTCTTGTTCCCATTGTTTCCAAGATTGCCTACATACACTTTACAACCTAGTGGACAGGAATCACTATGCATTTCGAGATCCTGGGTTCAAACACCGAAGCTCAAATGCCAACACTCCCTCGACAGGCCCACCTGCGCACTTCAGGATCTGCTCTGGCAGGATGCTCTCCGTTCCCTGGCGTCCACGAAATGGCCAGATGCTGTAATTCTTAATAAACTTGTTTGGCATAAGAAAAAATTTGTTCAAAACCCTAGCATTTGCATTTTTTTGTTTGTTTGTTTTTCGAGACAGGGTTTGTTTGTGTAGCCCTATCTGTCCGTCCTGGAACCCACTCTGTAAACCAGGCTGGCCTTGAACTCACTGAGATCTGCCTGCCTCTGCATCCCAATTGCTAGGATTAAAGGTGTGCGTCACCATCACCTGCCAACATTAATCTTCTATTCTCTCTGACTTTCTCATCCCCTAGTACCTCCCATCAGGACCCTGTCACTGAAGAACAACCTGATGGTCCAGGTCAGGGAGAAGTCACTCAGAAAATGGACTCTGCACCGCTTACAGCGGTTACCTAACTTGGGGGAAATACTACTCCAGTTCACTTTACAGCTGCGCCTGTCCTTCCAGTTATTAGGCTGCTTCACCGAGCTCTTCACACAGTGTGGGTGTGACACCCCTTTACCCTCTTACCCTCTCGCCTACCACCACGGTTTACAGGACCTTCAGGGTGGTGACTCTGTGATCTCCTGGTCAGACTGGCTGACGTCACATCCTGGTTCTGCTGCTTTCTTGTCTCTGAGATCTGGGGCAAGCTATTTGCCGTCTCTGTCTCTCAGTTTCCTCGTCTACAAAGCAGGAAGACATAAGTGTACTTGCCCCAAAGGCTGCTGTGAAAATAAAGAAAATAATCCATGCCGAATTCTAGAATACCACCTAACCCTAAGTCGGTATCCAGTAAACACTAGATCTCTTGCTGTCATATTTATTTGAAAAGTAACCCAACTTATCATTTAAAATGACAGCCTTGCCATATTTTCTCCTCCACCTAAATGATCTTTCTAAATCATAATAAAGAGCTAAAATATATCAATTCCAAGGGTCAGGGAGATGGTTCAGCAGTGGAGGCTCATTGCTGCAAGCCTGACAACCCGAGTTCAATCCCCAGCAAGTACATGAGAGGATGAGAAAGCCAACTCCCACAAGCTGTCCTCTGGCTTTCCCATGCAGTTCTATGGCATGTGAGCACACACGCATGCTCACACACACACACACACACACTAAAAAGACACACACACACACATATATATATATATACATATGCATATATATGAGAGAGAGAGATAATCGAAGTATAAAGAGACCAGTAAAAAAGTTGTTAGCATATGCCAACAAATGCTTGTAAGGAAGGAAAGAGCTAGAGGAACAGTGGCTGGTAAATCAGAGAGCACAGACTCAGGAGAAAAGGGAACATAGGGGAAGTGGGGAGCATAGTTCATAGTTGGGAAATAGACAATAAATGATATTGGTGGTCTCGCTGTATATGCAGAGAGAGAGATACTATTGCTATCTTCTTTGTGACTCTCAGAGACCCTACCTGATCACATCCTCACACCTCCCACTCTTGCTAAATAACCACTATCCAAACTGTGTTAATTATCTTCTTGCTTTTCGTTTTGTTTTGAGACAGGGTTTCTCTGTGCAGCCCTGGCTTTCTTGGAACTTGCTCTGTAAACCAGGCTGGCCTCAAACTCAGAGATCAACCTGCCTCTACCTACTGAGTGCTGGGATTTAACAGTATGTTTTCTTTTCTTCTCTTTTTTCTTTAGTTCTCTAAGACAGGGTTTCTCTGTATAGATAAGGCTGGCCTTGAACACAGAGACATCTGTCTGCCTCTAATCCCAGCACTTGAGAGGTAGAGGCAGGCAGAACCCTTGCTTTTTTATACCTATTATTATTATAAAAACCTTCAGACTGTTTTTAAATTTTTATGCAAATGAAGTAATTTCGTATATTCTCCAGTGCCACTTTATCAAGGATATTCGATGCTATAAGGAAAACAATATATTTATTTACCAGAGAGAGAGGGAGAGGGTCGCACAAACCAGGAGTTAGAAGCGTGGCTGGCTTCCAGGAGAAAAGGGAGGTTCCTTTTCCTTTCACTTCCTTTTACATGTACCTGTGTCAGTTTACATGTCCCCGCCCTCATGGGCGGACAGCTTTGTGGGGTTCAATCCTACACCACTTTTATTGCTATGCGTTAACTTTATAAGGTCATGTGTTCCATTATGACATTTCCATTGTGCAGGATGTGCTTTGATCATCTCACCCCCTCTTTACCTTTCCTGCTGGTCCAGCCTCTCTTTTATTTTCCTAGGCCGCCTCACACACGCAGCTTACGTACATGAAAGGAAGCACACAATGCTTGTCTTTGTGAGACTGCTTATTTCTCTTAGCAAAATGTGTCAGGTTCAACTATTTTGCTTATTTGCTTGTTTGAAGAAGATCTCCGGGTAAGTAGACCTAGAATTCACTATGTAGCCTAAGCTGGTTTTATATTCACGATCGTCCCGCATCAGCCTCCAGAGTGCTGGAATCACATGTGCACACCACCATACCCAACTCCATCTGCCTTCCTGCAAATAACATAACATCACTATTCTAGGATTAATAAAACTTTTTCAACCACATGTCCTGTGTTCATCACTGGTGATGGGCAGCTGAGCTGATTGTACAATGTGACGATTGTCAACAATGCGGTGGTAGGTGTGGCTGTGGGGTGTCTCTGTAGTCACCTGACTTTGATTCCCTCAGCTTTATACTGAGTCTCCTAACTGGTTCCCATGACCGATCGACCTTTAATGTTTTGAGGACTCTCCATACCGATTTCTGTGGTGGCTGTGCTCGCTTACATTACAGGAGCATTGGGTGAGCTCTCTTCCTCTCACATCCTCGCAGAATTTTCTTTTATTTGCTTGCCTGTTTGTTTGATCTTGTTTTTGTTTTTTGACACAGAGTTTCTCTGTAGCTTTGGAGGCTGTCCTGGAACTCACTCAGTCAACCAGGCTGGCTTTGAACTCACAGAGATCTCTGCCTCCAGAGTGCCAAGATTAAAGGTGTGCGCCACGCCCCTCTGACTCCCCCACTCCCCACCCTCCGCTGCTCGTGTGAATGTGTGGGTTGGTGTCATGGCGTGTTTGTGGAGACCAGAGAACAGAACTGTGGAGTCATTTATCTCCTTCTGCCTTTCCACAGGTTCCAGGTATTGAAGTCAGGTCACCAGGACTGTGCGGCAAGTGCCTTTGCGTGCTGAGCCGTCTGTCCAGCCTGTTTGATTTTTAACAATAGGCGTTCTGACAAGGTCATAGGAAATCTCAATGCCATTTTAATTTGCATTTTCTTTAAACAATTTTTATGTATTTCTTCATCATTTGTACATCTTCATTTAGAAACAAATCCATTCACTTCATTTGACTACTTGAAATGAATTTATTTGTTCTTTTAGTGTTTGGTCTTTTGTTATTATGTATTACAGATATGAATCTGTCAGATAAAAATGTGTATAAGATTTTTCTCCCATTCTTTTGGCCATGTCACTCCCATGACCCCCCAACATTATGCTAGGTTTTAGGGGTGTCATTTGGCTTCTTTCTCTGGTTTTGTTTTGTCTGTGTAGTGTTGAGGACTCAACCTGGCCCTCATCCATGCTCCACAAATGTTCTATCCCATAGTCATTCTCTCTCTCTCTCTCTCTCTCTCTCTCTCTCTCTCTCTCTAAATATATATATATATGTATATATATTAACTTAATATATATATATTAATTTAAGATGGGTCAGGGTGGCCTCAAACAGGTGATCTTCCTGCCTCAGCCTTTCAAGTAGTTGAGGCTACAGGACTGTATCATCAAACTCAGTTACATTTATTGAAATTTATGTACTAGTTTTACTACTACATTCACAACACATCATTCATTCCTTAAAAGTGTACAATCCAACTGCTTTTTGGTATAGTCACAATTTTGCAACTATCATTCAATTCGAGACATTTTCACCACTCAAACAGAAACGGTTATGCAATGCTCACTTCCTGTCACTCTCCAGCCCTGCTCAGTCTGTCATATTTAGCCTCTGTTTTTCCTCAGTGCATAAGCATGCCTCTGTCCATTCATACAAGCAGATGTCACAAACGTGTCTGGCTTCCTTGACTTCACCTGTTTTCAGTGTCTGTACTCACTAAGTCTGTGTCACTACTCCATTTCTGTGGCTGAATGCCATTCTGTTATGGGTGCATGTTTTATCCATTTACAGCTAGGGAACAATTGAGCTGTTTCTACTTTTGAGTGATAACAAATAACGCTGCTGTAAATATTTGTGGACAATTTCTTACAGAGATACATGCTTTGCTTCTGTGGGAGTTACTGGACCATATGGAGACTTGTCATTTAGCTTTCTGTTGGCCTGCCAGAATGGCTTCCAAAGTAACTGCACCATTTCACATTCCTAAACAGATACCCTGAGGGACTCCTAGGGTGCTTTTAGATTCATTCATATTGATATCTACGACTTCTGGTAATCCATCTTTATCTATAGTATATATATATATATATATTTGGTTTGTACGAGACAGGGTTTCTCTGTATTGTTTCGGAGGCTATCGGTCCAGCCCGGCCAGGAACTCACAGAGATCCGCCTGCCTCTGCCTCCCGAGTGCTGGGATTAAAGGCGTACGCCACCACCGCCCAGCTCTATACTATATTTTAAAAATGCAGCTTATAGTTGATAGACATTGATAAGTTAGTTCCAATCTTTCTCTGTTACACACAATGTTTCTACTTTCTTCTATATAGTCAACCTTCTTAGCTGCAAAAGTCTCCATCTGCACACTCAACTAAATGTAGAATGAACATAAATTTTATTCATTTATTTATTTGAGAATTACACACAATATATATGTTTGTGTATGTAGGTAGATAAACAAGATACATATATAAGATATATATGATAGACAGAGAGAGATCAAATCTACCCCAACAGTCTGCCTCCGAATCTTTGCCTATCCCACCCACCCATATTCCCTCCCAGTTTATGAGTTTTGCTTTTAAACCGATGA